TCAATTTGTGTATGAAAGAACCTTGCAACAACTCTTTCAAGGTGGTCTGTTGCATGGCATGATTTCTGCCTCTATCCAAAATGCTGTCATTTTCTAGCAGTAGTCAAAATGCTCCAATCCTTGTTGACTTACTTTGAATTCAGCTACATATTGGATTTATCTAACCCCCTCAGCAACTATTTTTTAGGGGGAGGGGATATAGGAATCACCCTGTCTATCTGTCCATGTGCCCCGTAAGTACAACTCTTCCTAAACCACTTGACTAATTGATGAAACTTTACACAGTTGTTCTACCTTACGATGTGAATAAAGGAGATTAGCCCTATCCTACATGTTAAAGGGGAGATAATGAATATGCTATGTAAAAATAGTAATGTGGGGATGGGGGATATGGATATTATGTAATAGTTGTTGGGATTGGGGTAATAATGAATATACTATGTTACAGTATTGTGGGGATAGGGGTATGAATATACTATGTAATAATATTGTGGGAATGGGGATATCATTTTGTGAGTTCAAAGTTGTTTTTTTTTTTCTCGTTTGAAATATTTGCCACTGAACATTTAACAAACAACAATCAATCAATCACATTGGCTATTTTAGAATAGACTTACATGATGTCTTTTAAAAGATTTTTAATTACAGTTATTCTTCTCATCCTTTTTAATGGATCCAAATTGGTTTTTCATTTAAATTACTAAACATCCATAATGTTATTTACATTTTAGCAAAGGTTAAAAGGGGGCAATTTAGCAAAACAAAAACAGAAACATAATTTCAAATGTGATTTCCCCCCTTTTTAATCTACTCCACCCCCTTTTCATTATATTATAATACAAATTATATGGTACTGTTAACTTCAATACACAATTTTGTTATTATTCTTGGACATGCAACAGTGAACACAAATCCAATACACAAGACACCATGAATGAGCCATTGATTGTAACAAGTACAGACATAGGTAGAACATAGGTATTTAAAATGTCAGGTATGTCACAATATCTAGGTAGGGTCACAGCTAGAAAGAATTCCATTTTCTCAGCAGTGTTAAATAAAACAAAGGATTGTATGCCTTTTAGAATTCGGTAAGATTATTATTATTATTTTTGTCTAGTCCATTTATTTAAAAACTCAGCTAATTTTTTAGGAACAACCTTTTTGTCATATATGTATATACTGTGAATTCAGAAATTATAGGGTTAATATCTATATGACAACAATCCAATAACATGAGGTTAACCGTAAGCCACATTCACTACTCATTCTATAACCTTTGACGATTAGTTGAATTTAATGTTCTTTATTTTGACCTATCAGCAGCATTCTTGAAATCTACTAAATGTTAGTTGTCCACCTTGTACAAAATACCAGTTCAATGTTTATGTATTTTTGACAGATTCGGTTTTTTTTTATCTTTTTCGTGAGTGCTATATGTCACTGATAAACTCTTGTCTCAGTTTATGTATCAATATTTAAAATAGATATAAGAAGATGTGGTATGAGTGCCAATGAGACAACTCTCCATCCAAAGTCTATTTGAACATTTTTTTTTGTACTTGTCTATAAATATTAACTGAATTGTTTTGTCATTCATTTTGCTGGATGTTATAAGAGGCCCTGGTAAAACTATTCTTAAAACCCTTAATCTGATACCCATATTTATCTCATGCACTTATTTTGGAATACACTCACAACAAAGATTGGGAAAGGGTGCAGGATTTTCCCCGATGCGTTGAAGACCCATTGTGGTGGCGTTGGGTTGTTTTCTGCTCTTTGGTCAGGTTGTTGTCTCTTTGACACATTCCCTATTTTCAATCTGAATCTGTATTTTAACTGTAAAAAATGATTAACTCACCACTTACATTCTAAAGTACTTGTACTAAGTCAATAATTAATTATTTCCTGTTTATCAACTATTAACTTTTTCCCAAAACTTGCCCCCATATATGGACCTATATTCCTTGGAAGCTGTGTTACATCTTACCCTTGTCAACCCAATTTGAATACAGTCAGTTGATATCCCACACATCAGAAAACAGCATTTTTTTCTGCAAAATAGTTGCCAAATTATTTATTGTTTGTAAATCTGATCACAAAAGCAGGGAATAGTATATTGTATAAATGTAGATTTAAATTTACTTAGATAAAAATTATTGAATTTTTTTTCTCATGACAAATGCTTTCACATGCAATTTTATCTTTGTGGGAATAATATATTAAATTCAAGTCAGAAAAATGAGTGAAAAATCTTCGGTTTTTTGAAGAAAAATTAGGGTTGAAAATATAAATTGGTACTTAAGGAAGGAGTAAAAATCCATTTTATAAATTAATAACTAGTAGTCAAATCTTATTATATGCCAGTTGAGCTGTGAGTAGAAACCATTAAATTGATTTGCTTTTCAATATACTTGTTTCTATTACGTTTACGTTATTAAGTTTACGTTTTAGTGTCAAGTTTTCTGTTTGAAAGAAATATATAACCACAGAATATATATTCTGCTACAGACACACTTAATAATGAGATAGGCTGTAAATTTTAATTGGAATTGGGTAAGCTTTAGTTGTTTTTATACCTTTAAGCGTTTTCAATAAATGTTTTTTTTTTAAAGATTGATAGCAAAGAGATGGGCTTATCATATATAAAGAAAATAAAAAATTTAAGATGCACTTCCTAAATTTAAAACCAGTTCCAGAAGTCACCCTGCCCTGTCTTCCTCCTTAAAAATAGAAGTAGTACAATTACACACAAACATATCAGCTGATCAGTTAATCAGCGTTTTTTCAATTTCTAGGCCAATATTACATGCCAGCAATATTGAGAATCATTTGTTGTGACTTTAATTTTATCTGTATTACAACTTGATTAAATTGGAAGATGAATTGCCCATTATAGTGTTCTGACCAAAGATGTCAGTTCAGCTTGTGAATTAGCAATAACAAATATTAGTTCCGGATTCTGATCAATATGTTGTGTCTGGAACATTAATGGAAAAACCTTAAGAATGGTTGTAGAGAAAATGGGGTTTTTAGAAGGGAGCAAGATTGGTTTTATTGTGAATGGATGCCGGTGGACATTATCAGATGAGAGTATAATCTATTGAATGAACTATAGTAACATTTGTAATTTAATTCCATTTGATGCCTATTGATTGATATATTTTGAGTAACAGTTTTAGTGTAGTTTGAACTTTTGTAGGAAATTCAAAGTAAGCTGAAGGGAAAATAAATTTCATAGACTTAAAAGAAGGATTTAAATTTGACTTATTTCTTATTTTAATTTTTTTTTTTTTTTTTAGGTAGGGGGTTACAAGATTGTTGGTAATAATCTTTTCTCTTCTTCTTGTGTTGAAATATGATAGAGAAACACAAGATGACCGGATCAGTATTTAATGCGAAAAAATGTCAAGATTTTCCCCCTAAATCAATTGTTTGACCATCATTTGCTGGACTTCAGCAATTATATTCCACCCACACTTTTGCATATTTACCTGTCACACTTAATTACTTGGTGTAGGTGTTCGCAAGTTATGATTCCTATCAATATTACATACATCTTTATTGACTGGAACAGTAAGTAATGTCTAATTTCATGAGATTAATTGGAAAAACAACACTATTCATGGTTATATTTCATGATTGTAATTTTATCAGGTGAAAAGTGATTCTTCCAAAAAAAAAAAGATCAAAAAAACATATTTTTACATTAAATCCTATTAGATTTAATGTACTTGTGATGATAAGAACTAATATAGGTATATTCATATTCTTTTCTGTCAGATTTGCACCTAAAAAAATTATTTTTGACTACATTAAATATCAGGTGTGAGAATATAGGTCTTCAATGTAGTATGAATAGAAACAGATGTGGGTCCAACACTATAGTATGGCAACCTAACAACCAAACAACAAAATCAAATAATTAAATGCAAATAGAAAAAAGACACAATAAAATTTGGCATAGAAATGAGAGATAACTGAGAAAAAAAAACAATTGTTAAAAAAGACTGAATTCACAGCTGTGACATGAAAAACAAAACTAGAATATTCTTTATCAAAAAATGAGCTGAAGTTCTTATATGTATACTGTCTTGCACTCTTGTTTATTTCTATGGAGGCAAAAATCAACACATTTGATTGTGGTAACATTATTAATGGTGTTTTAAGTCAATCGTAAAATTTATTGATGTTTTTTTTTTAAATTTTATTAATAGGTCTGCATACTGTTTGTTGGCATTAAAATTTTAATGAAAAATTAATAAATTGAACAAAATTCAACTGTAAACGCAAGAAATATTGAATTAATTTGCCTTTGTGTAATAAAGTCTCAACTGCGGGAAAAATCAGTAAAGCATTATTAAAACAAGACATATATATTGATTTGAATAATTTTTAATTCATAATAGTATATTGATATGGTACATTACTTACAATAGATCTGGACGATAAAATTATTCATTGATTACTAATAGTTTAAGGTCCACACAGGCAAATCTAAAAATGTATACAGGTATTTGTTTAGTAGTTCATTTACTATGACCATGAAGGCTTCTTTCATGTGGAGCAATTAAAAGAAAAAAACATTAGAAAAAATGAGAGATCTTACCATTGCTTATTACTCTGAATATATTTAAAGTAGGGGTAAATGTCTTGGAGACACCAACCTAACAATAAAAGAACACATAAAAGGCACTTAAAAGTAAAACCCAATCTTCAGTTATTGGCGAACATAAACCTGATAATGGCACATATGTCAAGCTACAAATCAAGAAAAGCTTGGGCAATTTGTGAATGAATTCAACATTGGAAAATGTCAAATTCATTATTTTTTTTTTATAATTTCTTAGGAGTACCACAAGTCAGTATTTTTAGTTTGTATTTTGCACATGAATTATTTTAGGAGACTGCTAATAAACTGTGAAGACTTTTAAGAATTTTGACAAACTTCTTTTGAACGAAATATCAATTTGATTATCTTTTTCTTTCTATTATTTCAGAAGATGGTTACAATGATTCGTCCTTCAGATTAACTGACCGTGGTAAATTGACCTTAGATTTCCATGTTAAGTCATTATGTAACGTGCAAATCAAAACTGAACCTCATTCCAGTGACTGCAATGCATGGGTGCAGGACGAGCAAAACAATAACATTTGTAAGATAGTTGACGTGAGAGGGAATGTAGAATTTACGAACAGTTTAATGAATAATAATAATAATGGTGGTGATAAAGAAAGTCTGACTGGAAGTAGTACTACAACAGAAAACTGGCAATCGAACAATGTTTCCCGTCAATCTGAAAGTATAAATAGCACCAGAAATTCAATGATGTTAGCCAGTAGTCCTGCTGGTGTCTTTAAACCCCCAATGACTGTGGCTGACCAAAGGCTTATATCAGGCGGAATGCCTTATTCAATGATACCATCTGGACCTGTGTCACCCTACAGTTCTTATTTCACACAATATGGATATCCTCCACGTAATTATCCACAAATTGATTCATATTCATATTCTGCAGTTCTACAAAGCATGGGAAGTCATGCAGCACAAACCCAAATGCCGTGCAATACCTATGGGTCTCAGTACTCCATGCTGAATAGCCCACATCAACGATCAATGTCTGTTTCCGCCTCAGGGCAGGGACAGCATGTGTCATCCCGACGTAGCCCGGGAGATACGTCAGAAAGAGATATTGACTCTAATATACCACACAATTATGGTAAGGAGGAACGTACACATAGTCTTTCATCAGTAGAAATATCCAGTTCAAAAACTGTATCTTTCAAAGACCCACCTCCAAGGAGGGAATTATTAAACAGTAAAGATATGAACTATAAAGTGCCTAGTGGTAAAGAAGGAAGTTTAAAACATCGAATCTTGACCCGCCCATCAGACAGTACTCCAGAGAGTTCTGTGGTGGATGTACATTATGGTGAACCTTCTGCCAAAAGAACAAGATACGATTCTCTTAATGTTTCCACATCAAATCACCAAGAAGATAATGGATCTTCTTCAAATTTACATTTCCCGCCACATTTTATGAAGGGTTCTATAATACAACTCACAAATGGTGAACTGAAACGTGTTGAGGATCTGCAAACAGCAGATTTTGTACATAGTGCTGAAATAAGTAATGATCTCAAAATTGACTCTAGTTCTGTTGTACGCATTGATGAAAATAACGAGCGAGGGACAGCAGTGCTTGGATTTGTTGTTGGAGAACACAAAGTTCAGGTATGGTTATTGTTCATTGAAAAATCTATAAAAAACTACATATATTGTAGTTGATTAAGAATTATTCATTTTTACATATATTTTTGTAGTAAATAACCATCTGCTTGAAATTAACATGCATAAGGGCTTTCATATGTGAAACTAGCTGGCAAATTGATTAATAACATTGTTAATCCATATTTTTATAAATTACTCAATACTGAGGTAGACCATAGGTTAAGGGTCTTTTGTTTAATACAGATTTATTTAGAGGTCTTAAGTTTGAGACAACGAGGGCATAGTTTCTCTCTTGTGTGTATGTACTGAAAATTGGTTTCTGGATGCTAATTTGAGAACTTCTTCAGTTATAAAAAATTAAATGATATGGAGTAAATGTACATGGGACAAAATGGCACACAATACATAGAAAACATTGAAAATTATCAATGAACAGGGCTTTTATTCCTGTTCTTCATCTTGACAGTTGATGTAGGGTCTTCAACAATGGACGAATCATTCATACCCTACAACAAGGTCAAGACGGCCCCAAGTGTCGACTTAAGCGGTACTATTGATAAAAATAAACCACAGTTCACCTTCTTGCTCCCCACCCACCTCGGAGTGCCAACTTGTGGGATGCTCGTGTACGACGGTTACCCTTGATAAAGAGGAAAGTAAGCCCAATATTAAGTTTCCACATTAGTTCACCATGTCACCAAATCATTTAAATGTTGTTATAAACTAGAAATCCAATGGCTGATATGTGACAAAACAATTAACCAGAAAAAATATGACAGAAAGATACCAAGGACAACCACTAAATTACAGTCTCATGACATTGGATAAGCACATTGAGAATGTGGCGTTGATAAACATGATTGTGAGCACTCAATCATCTTCTCTAACCTGGAACAGTGGTGTAACGGCACAACATAAAAACAAACTGTAAAAATCAGTTGGAAATGACTTGACTTGTCAGATTGTCAGGAAGCAAAAAATACAACTAAAAAAAAGACAAACAATACAAAGTATCAATCTAAGAGTACTCCCAGTCACTGATAGCTAGTTCAAGAGATATGATCAGTCTGTATATTCATTGTAAGGTGTACAAACCAGTCTATGATATGTTTAAAGTTTCTATGATTAAATTGGTTTCTCAGTGAATATGGTAGCTCTGTGAAATAATCACTCATTTTCTCTGGTTCATTGCTACATGTCTAGTTTTGAATTATCTTAAAGGTTTTCAGTAACGTCATTGAAGTTGAAATATCAATCATTTATGTGTAAGTTGATCCCAAGGAGTGCATAAACGTGTTAGTGTCAGTTATATCCTACATATTAAATTTTTCCATAGTTCTGTGAAAAATAATCCCAGGAACTTAAATAATTGGAGAAAGTTGTGCTGATACAGTAGAAAAATCTGTTTAGGTGATAACAAACAATGGTGTTTAATTAACACTTTAGTGTTTCAGGTTTCAAATTATTAGATTTGTTTCATTCATTGACGTCAATTATTTAATAGTAGAAAAACAAGACCAATGTACAAGTTGTAGATAAAATGTCAATAAGACAGCATCCCAACAATACTGTCAATAGTCATCTGAAGGTCATTGTATGGACCTAAATGGTGAACAATCATCTACCCTGCATGGAAAACTCTTAAATAACCCCAGTTTGGATCAGACAGGAACCCTCTCCCCTCCCTCCTTCCCAATGTTTTGTCAATATATGGTCCTCTTATCAAATATCAAATTTTAAAACATTTTTTAAGATCAGACGATTCACAGGTCCTTTTGAATGAGATGTCAAGTCGCAAGGTTGCCCGCCAAACCCCCAAGGTCGCAGGTTGGATTTGACAATGTTGGATGGGTGGCTGTTTAACTTCCAGTGGCAATTTAAATGCATTTTCAGGAGGAGACAATATCCCTGTTAGTTATGATAATGTTATGTTCATTGAAATCAGATGGAGACATGTAAACAAGGACTTTTCCATAACTTTACAAATGGAGTAACTAGATGATGATTTGTGAGCGAGACTGATCAGTGTTTCTAGTTATTTTGTGTATTTTTATCTATCTTGTCATTAAGTACTAGCAAATACTTTGAATTCCTAGTCATATTTGTTTTCTTGGTGACTGCTCTAAATGCTGCTGTAAATATTTTTACTGGTTAATAACATATGTAAAAAATGGCCAACTTTCCGACCTGGAATGTTAAGTTTACTTATACAAATCAATGTAAAATGTCAGTCGTGACTTCTTGTTAAGATGGTAAATGAAGATGTTGTAATACATTATACATTTAGTCATGATACCAAATTTTACACACTCTGCTGAAATTTAATAAGGACAATTAGTACAGCTAGTTTTATTAAATCAGAGAGGCTGTTAGCCAAATTACTGCTTGCAATTTACATGACTAAATGGGCAATTTTGTTCATGTAAACAATTAATTGGATGTTCTGTTTAAAGTGAGGTTGAAAAGTAGAGTCTATTTCATATGATCACAAATGGATTCTTTTTTTTTTACTTCCTTTGAAGCAGATGTTTATGTTTAAACATTGGTGAAGATGTGACATAATAAAACAATGATCTATAGATATTGATAGTACAACTGTACTTAACATTGCATTGTGGGATACCTCAGACAATAATATCCAATTATATTGATTCATAGGATTAAATAAACTGTTATTTCTTGTTGACAATTTTCACAGTTTTGTTTAAAAGGCATTTGTCTGAGGTTTCACGTCACCACATTACAAGTTAATGGATTCCTTTGGCTTTCATACTTTGTGGTTGTACTTTAAAGTCAATAAGGTGGTTGTACTTTAAAAGTCAATAAGGTGGTTGTACTTTAAAAGTCAATAAGGAAATTAACGAAAATTTAAGAACAATGTATGGTCTTCAACTCTAATCATTCGAACATTAACCTTATTGTTAATTTTATTTTCAAAGTTTTAATGTAATTAAAGTCAATATTCAGTAAACATGTAACATAACACAAGATTTTGCAACACTAGTGAAAACCTCGAAAGTGTAATTGCTGAAAATACAATATATACAAATATTTACTACATTACAGAATTTATTTGTATACAGGGCCAAAAATAAATTTAGATTTTTTTATGTTGCCTACCTACCCACCTAAAAAGCAGCATACCTAAAAAAAAGTTATGACACAAACCAGTTTGAATGTTTTTTTTTAAAGATGTTTTCCTGCTTTTACGTCATTTTCTTGTCTAAAACATATAACTTATGTTGTTGGCCAAAAAAAATAAAATCCCTATATAAACATTCACCTTTAATACGTTTCTGACAAAAATTTGAAAAAGTAGAAAAAGCAAGATTTAGGCATGCTGTTTCTGGAGGCGTTGTCATTGTCACCAATGTATTAGTTTGTGATTAGGTCAATTTATGGGGAACCACTAGTGGTAGGTCAATGATATTGGGACTTGGGACAGGCGCAAAAATGCGGCGGGGTTAAACATGTTTTGTGAGATCTCAACCCTCCCCCTATACCTCTAGCCAATGTAGAATAAAGAAACACATAGCAATACGCACAGTAAAACTCCGTTTAAAAGAAGTCCGAGTCCGATGTCAAAATAGGTAACAAAAGAAACTAAGCAAAATGACAATGATACATAAATGAACAAAGGACTACTAGCAGTTACTGACATGCCAGCTCCAGACCTCAATTAAACTGATTGAAAGATTATGTCTTCATCATATGAAAATCAAGTACTAGTACAATCCCTCCCGTTAGGGGTTAAGTATCATACCATCATAAAATATATGAGAAGAACATAACCCGTATCATGCCAACAACTGGTTTTAGAATAAATGTGTTTATTTCCGATGCAAAGACCCTATGAGTGAATCAATATTAATACCAAAATATGTAATCCTTAATGACTTGACAACAGTATCGTAACTATATCCTTTCAGAATAAGTCTGTTTAAAGGTTTGGTTAACTTTTGAGGTGAATGCCGACATTTTTGTGCTTTGTAAAGAATATTACCATAAAATATTGGATGTGAAATACCTGAATATATATATATATATATAAACAAGTCTAAATTGAAAACAACGTTCAAACCTATGATTGTGTTGAATAAAAACTGCAATTTTTATACGTGTGCATGCAAAACAAATTTCTTGGTAGAGGGGTCTAAATACAGCACAAACAACATTTTCTTAAAGACCAAAAAAGTGAAAAAGTATACTGTGGATTCATTATTTTTCGTTGGATACCAATTTTCGTGGGTTTCGTGGGTACAGGTGAACCACAAATTCAAATGTTCAACGAATTACAATCCACGAAAATTGATACCCATGAAAATAAATGAATCCACAGTATTTTAACAAAACGCATTTGACTAGCAGGTCGAACAACGGATGTCCTTAAACCCTGCTGACTGCCATTGGCAATTGCCAAATAAACAGATCACCAGATGTAACAAAATGGATCTTAAAGGGAAAGTCCGCGATTTTTTACTTATCATCTAAATATGTTCATCTTAACATAAAAAACACATTCACAAAGTTTTAAATTTATATTCTTTCTAATAACGGAGAAAATCAAGTATTTGTAACTTTTTTGGTTGACCTACGTCACTGGGTTGTGACGTTTTAACCCGATTTGTTGAATCATGGGAAAAAATAAAATCTGTTAAAGTCTTAATTGCTTATCAGAATTTTACGTAATTAAAAGCGCACAGATGACCGTTGGTCGTAGTTAATAACCACAATATAAGAATGAAAGAAAATGAATATGTGTGTACCGTTTTGTAATGATTGAATAAAACTTCCTATATGAAGTTATCTAAATATAAATATTTTCGAATAAATTTCATAAATTATTGAGATTTTTTCATAAAATATCTATAGAACATTTTTACTGATATTGAACTGAAAATATTTTAAGTTTTATTTACCGTTATAACTTTGATTACCATTTCAATGCAAAATATTTGTGAACAGAGTGTGTATATTATTTTGTAAAGTCATTGTTTATTTCTCGATTTGAGGAGCATTCGTTTGAACTTTACCTTGCAGCAATTTAGCCTCAGGCGTACACAGGTGTGAATTCAAGCGAACACAGGTGTGAATATTGTCATTTTGAATGGATTAACAGAAAGAGTATAGCGTGTTTAATATACCCAGATGAAATACCCGATGACAATAGAGAAACAATAAATAAATTGTATAAATTAATTGAAAATAAACATTCAACTTTTTAATTCCGGAAGTGTTACAATATTAAAATGGAACAATTTTCGGTTACGTTCTATGCAATTAGCATAAAGTTAAGATATGAAGTTAAAAGAATAGTACTTTTAATCTTAAAAATTAAATGTTACATTTCCCAATTAATAATCATTGCACATCTGTTTAATTTACTTTACCGGAATTCTTTAACTTGTATTTAAATCTGGCGATGTTTAAATGCTAACAATCGTAAAACTATCGCAATTTTAAAGTTTTTAATTGAAAAAATACAACAGTACAACATGCATGATTTTTTTTAATTTTCTTATTAACATTTCATCCTTACATAATTAATTCATTTGACAATCACTTAGATAAATTATTTGTGAAAAGAATACCATGCAATTATCGTTTATTTCATTAATGAATATACATACATTATAAATCTAAGCTAATACATTAATTTGTTTGAGGATTTTTTTTAGGATAGCCGTCATTAATCCAAATTAGTAATACAGTTGTTGTAATTAAAGGCATATCTTAGTAATGTATTACTGATATTGACGATTTTAGAACAGTTCGTCCCAACCTCGTTGTTCTTGAAAAAATCTTTACTAGTATCCTTGTAAGTTTCCTGACGTATATGCGCCATTGAGGATGAGCTCCAGAGATAGCAGACTAGTAGCGTATTTGTTTGTTGGGGCAGGAGAGGCCATGCAACCACTTGTACAGATAAACAAGCTTATGTTGTCAACACTACCAGAAAGAGTTCCCATCGTCGGATGGGGTATATGAAGGTTCCAAGAATGAACTATTGACATGTCTGACTCTGAACAGTTAGTAAACGGACTTAACAATGATCTATAGACATCGATCGCTTGTTCTTGATATTTGAAACTGCATGCATATATACGTTTATGAGAGTGATTATTTATCTTGTGTCTCACGAAAACTAAATGCCTGCATGGTTATATCTTGCCATACGTTTGTATTGGTTTGGCGGGTGTTCACTCAAAATCGTAATTCTAAAATTGTGTTTGTGAGATGTAGATTCACTTCAATACCGAATTTCGTCTATATATTTCACAAGTGTATACCACGGAAAAGATCTGAAGGTATATTACTCCCATTTTGTTTGGGTGTGAACCATCGATGTTTACAGTAATATTTAATGAATAAGATGATGATGGTAGAAAGAACTATGAGTGTCATGTGGCAAATATTACATGCATGTCGGACCATGAGTTGTCAATCTGTATGAAAAGATTTCCAATACAACCATATTGAGTAGGAATTTTTACATGCTATACTCTCGTACTAGTATTACAGGGTTCTTGTGTCGTTTAACTCGGACACACATCTTTTACTTTAAGATGTATGAAAGGTTCTAAATATATATATATATATCTTAAATGTAACCATTATCAAACGCCTATAGGCAATCACTAAAATGGTATGAAGTTTTTATACAGATTTATTCTTATTTACACAATCATTAACAAACTAAATAAATTTAACAAAGTAACACCGTGACACTACGATATAACAAATGGGATACTAATTATTTTTAACCATGCTATGAAGAAACTTTACACATCAAATTAATATACTGTTCCCAGAATCAAGTTAGTGCACGTGAATACCAATTAAGTACACGATGTGTGATTTTGTATAACTAAAAATATCAAAGCGAGCAATAACTTTGTCAAGCAAACATTTTTTTTCACTATGCCTCTCTTTATCTCCGCTCCTTTACAATAACTATTTCGCTTTTCGTCGATCATTCTCTATATTGTTCTCTATTCGGTTATTTTTTTTTTCACTATGCCACTCTATATCCGCTCCTTTTTCCCATGTCGTCCTAATCCTTATAAAGATAGAGACATTAGACATAGAAGGGGCTCTCTTATCTTCAATGAATTAATACTAATAGTGACTATAAGTGCTGCATTACTTTATATATCTGCATGTTTGCCAATCGACAAAAGCTTGTATTTGCGTGAAGAATTTTTTTTCTTCAAAAATATGGTCCAGAATCATGACAAAACAATATTCATTTCAAATGTTCAAAGGTCATGTTTATAATTTTTTTTAAACTTATTATCAGCAAAAATGGTGGATAATATTATTACCAGAACATCATTCATTAAAAGGTGGAATTATAATTTCAAACACACACAAGATAAACAACGTTAGACACAAATATATGGTTCAATAAATGTTACCTGTGCACACCGGGTACCTCAATAAAGAGGCCATGCATGAACCTGTATTATATAATTGTGTAATACGAAATTTTAGTTGACAGGATGTCACTGGAATACCCAGGGACGTGTATCTAATATACGTCCTTGGAATACCTAACTGAATGTGTCGCTCTGACACGACATCTATCAATAATTCTGACATACCTATTATCAATTCGGGAGGAAGCCAAAAAATATATATAATATGATAACGTAAATATAATTTAAAAAGAAAAAAACCTATAAATTTTTCACCGAACATACCAGATAGAGTCACACATTTAAATGTAAAGCCAAGTGTCTTTATAAGTGACCGTTCCGAATAGATCCCGTATCAATTTGATATAATTTAAAGATTAGTTAAAAAAAAAAACCACTTTTAATAAAAAAAAATTGAGATGTCCGATATTTCGATATTTACATATCTATAACCTGGGAATATTTCAACATATTATGTCCCAGCTAAAACCTCTTCCTAACATTGCTCCTTGTCAATAGCCGTTAAATATCATAATTAAAAAAATGTTATTTTATATCGTATAACTTTATTAATTGAAAAATTATCTTGTCTAAATACGGAACTATTCTTTATACAAATCAATGCACTTTATATAAAAGAGGCATACTAATGAATCTTCTGTAAATCAGTGATTGTTACAAGAACACTGCATTTGTCTTTCTTATAATTGAAACTGTTCTTCCTCATCAAATCTATAATTTTTTTTTGTTATTAAAAAAGGATAATTACCATCGAATCTCCCTCGAAACAATATTGTTCAAAATGGTCTTCACACACCAACTTGTGCTTGCTATAGATGCAACTATTTGCTGTTAGTTTAAGGTTGTACAACCATGTCTGATACAATTCTTTCATTTTTTGTGGGATTGGGAAAACTATGTAGACTTTTGTCATAACCTTGTCTGACAGAACAACCGTACGCTTGACAAGACATTTGACACTGAATAACCGTCTACGGTAATCCCCAATTGATGATGGGAGTTTTTAACGCACGGTCGGTAAATCCCCGATTCTTTTTGTTCTTTGTGGTTTATAGATATCACGTGACTTTTTAGATCGAACATGCCGACAAGATGGCGATATGTCGAGAACTGATAGTGAATTTCAAAAATCGATTTTGATCTCTTTACATAGAGAATAAAAGTTTTTTATTTATGAACATGTGGTTTTTTATGCTTAAAGAACAAAATATCAATTTTTCATTTTTTTGCGGAGTTTCCCTTTAATTATTAATTTAATACCAAACAGAAAACAATAAACTTGCGGAAAAGATGGTATACCGCAAACAAAAGGTGCAAAAATTAGTACACCATATCAGGATTTCGACAATTAATGTCTCTTCAGTGATGTTAGGAATCGAAAAGGTATCTGGAAGGCCATATAATTTACCTCAATTTAGGATAAACTCTTGAATTTTGAAGAGTCGATATATATATATACATATATACTGGCTAATAAGTTTTTTACATTTTATTTTCAGGTGACTGTTGAAGCTTCTGTTGAACATCCATTTTTTGTTTTCCATCAAGGATGGTCATCTTGTGATCCACAACGTACACTCCAACGATATGGACTTGATTGCCATAAACTCTCTGTCGGTGATAGATGTATATCACTGACTCACAAGGAAGTGGCGGACCGTGCTGCTGAACTTTTACAACAGCAACAACAACTAGGTGATAATCCAGCGTATAGTTTTGGTGAAACTGTCTCGGGCAATAAATCAGGGATATCAACCCAGGGCTTGGACCTGAACAGGTCTCAACACAGATAAGAATGGTCAAGCCTTACAAATGTTGATATTTTGATTGATAGACCTTTCATGGTCATTTTGCAGACCCTAAAATATACTTTTGACTGTATATGGTCATTATATAGACCCTAAATGCTGTATGGTTGACCATATATTGTCATTTTGTCAGACCTTAAATCTGTTACTGGCCTAATTGGTCACAATGTAGACCTTAAAATTATATCAGAAAATGAATCTCTGAATGTCGAAATATATTTTTAACATAATTTAGACATATATGCTGATTCATTTTTTTTAATATACAACCCCTTTGCAGGGAAAAAGTAGTATAACTAGTATTAACATAGGTCTTATGGATATAATTTTTATACAAAGTGTATAATAATCAACATTTCTAAACACATTGGTTCATTGTTATCTTCTGTTATAAAGATACAGTCTTACATAAATGCACACATTAGCACAAAATGGCTGTCATTTGCTGCATCTTGGTTTAGTCAGATCTGCATATAGTATAATTTTGATTTGATTGAATTTCCAACACTGCAATCTTTCATAGTTTCCATTTGTACATGTTTTAAACAATTTATGACATAACTGCCATGCTTGTCAGAATTTCTTGAACAAAATCTTTGTTATATTACATGGGTAGAAAGGAGGAAGAGGTGTTAGATTTGATGATATTTTACCGTCAGATTCTGTCAAAGCCTGTGCATTGGAATCAAAGTTTCTAAAGATAATTTACATCAGACAATTTATGAAAAATTGTAGAAACCATAAAGACAAAACAAATCAAAATACTTTGTTAAAAATTAACAGGGATTGAATTTGAAATGCCTTTTCAGAAAATTGTAAAATACAGTGCCTTAGATAATGGATATTTTCCATTGAACATTTTTTTTCTTTTATTGTCCCTTTGCTGCTTTTGGATTTTGGAGGTTTCAGAATAGGTTTACATAGAAGATATTTGTGGGATTTTCTTTCTTCTAAAACATTACAGAGTTCCCTAACTTTTTTAAGTATGATTTGCTTTAAAAAAATTTACAGACAATATTTTTCAAAAGATTCAGTTAATTTAGAAATTTCACTATTTTTAAAGAGTTTTCCTTAGATTCCTATAAAAATGACTCACCATCTGAAAAATAATTTTTTATATAATGTTAAGTCTTATGACAGATCAGGCACTGTTGTCAATGTTTGATAAAACGGAATTGCTGTTTTCAATCAAACCCCACATTTTTTCTCATTTGTTTGCATGTACTAATTTTGATCTGTTAAGGGAGGTAATTTGTGAATATAAGAAAGATCCACAAAGAGGGAACTACAATTTCTGTATAAAATGGTTTAATGAAGGAAGATAAGACCTGTGGGAAAAGTGGGACTGTTGATTTATTTTCAGTAATATTTTTATTGATTTCTGGGAAATTTTGAATAAATAAGTTTTATTATTTTATGAAGTTGCTTTAAAGGGTTAATAAATTACATGTTCACTGTTCAATCAGATGTTTCCATTTCAAACAACAGATAGAATATACTTAACTAAACTAATCTTGAAAATCTTGGTTAGTGCCACATGAAATTACTTTCTAGCTGCTCAAAATTTCTAATATTGTTGAGAGAAATGGACATTTCCTTAAATACTTTCAATTTCAAAGCCTCATACACTTTTAAGTTCCCTATGAGTAGAAAGAGAGAAGAGCAGTTGAGAGAGCAACTCAAAACAGCTCAAGGTTACCAGGAGACATGTTAAGGTCACCTTAGGGGTTTCTGGATTGATAAGCACTCACTCATGTGACAAGCTTTAAATCAACTGGATTCTAAATATCTTGTGAAAGATTTCAAGGGAGACAACCAAAAATTGAAATCCGCAATAAAGTTTGTTAATAGTAGAACAATTTTAACATTCAGAACAACTAATAAAATTAAAGGAACTACATAATACATGCTAACTGAAGTAGTACTGTATGATCATTTTTGTTGCGACAGAAACAAAGAAAAGTTAATGTGAATTTACTTATTATAACTCAAATAAACTACATCTTCTGAACTTTATCCAATCAGATTTTATCCATATTATCAATGAACCTCCATTCTCTTAAACTTTTTTCATCCTGCTTTGTTTTCAATATATAAAACAATAATAGACAGCTTGATAGAAATTCTTGTTTACATTAAGAATTATGTCTAGAAAAGATGCTACTTCATCTTTAAAGCTGCAGTTGTTATACAGTTTTTCATTCCATTTGTCCAATATCTGTCCCTGAAGAAGAAAATCATTGGCCAATATCTGACATAGAGAAATTGGATTATGGGAAAATTTTGTTCTAATGTAGACTTTTCCTTATAAATGACAAAACAAACAAAAGAACTCGCCATTCACCAAAAATCTAAACACTAAATACATATTTTCTACTATTCACTGTTTTTATGAAAGAACGTAGCTGAAAATCTTTACTATTACTATTATTATTATTATGTTTTTGTAGAACATAAATCCATAATGAAAGACTTTGATTAAGTGCTCAAGAATTTTAGATTTGTTATTATTTTTACTGTTTAAGGCTATCTTATGCTTGTTAAGTTTGTTCTTATGAAGGATATGAGATTTTAAGTTAAGTTTACAAATTAATTTTAGCTTGTTTTCATTTGTAAATGGCAAATCACGTTTTTAGAAAGCTTTTATGATATTTCATTCAGTTTGTTAATGTATACGGCTAATTTTTTTTTTAAAAGAAGTTTTATATGAAAGACAGTGGAATTTTTTTTTTCAGTTGCATTAAAATTAGTGGAATATGTTATTGATAGATTGATATGTATTATTCAGAGATCTGTGAAAACCTTTAAAACTGATTTGGAAAGAACAAAATAAAAATTGAAAGCTTTTTCTGAAATTGAATTAGAAGACAGTGTTGTTATATAGTGGTAATCATATTGTGATATTTATAGATATTTTCTGTAAAAGATGTTGTCATGGTTACCTGTTTTTCATTGTCATGGTAACAATCACCTTTTAAGTTGTAACAGTTATATGTATTTTATTCGATGGAGTGGTTAAAATTTAATTTTGTTAAAATTTAAATAAAGTTTTATTTTAAAGTTTAGATATTGTAACAGGAACTGTGATTACGAACAACTTTTTAGCGTTGATTACTAGAACACCGATGTTTTAGAACAAATTTGTTAGTACCTGTATGGAAAACTATTGAATACTTAATATTTAGAACATAACTTAGAACAGATTTTGATGGTCCAATGGGTGTTCAAGAAATCAAAATATCAAAGTATTTGCTTTAACATAATCAAGGTCTTTTGGTACATGGTATGCTCAGGGTCTGAGCTTTTTTTGTTAAGGGAAGAAACTCAATATGTATCAATTTCATTTAATTTTGAAATAAACTCAAAATAATGCGTTTTAGTTTTTGCAGATTTCAAAGAATAGTTGGAAAATAACAAAGTGTTTAAAATTAAATTCATGTTTTACAAATATTTGTTTAGGATGTTCAGTATTTAATTCACCAATATCAGAAATAAGCACTTCTTTGAGACAGATACTACACACATTTGTTTTGATGTCCATGATAAAAGGCAATGGATTCAAATATATTCCTAAATGCATGTGAATTTGCATTTGCTTTTAATAGGGTACACATTTATGTTTGTGTAATATTTTAAGCTGCTCCTTCTAATACTTAAGTTCTGTAGATTCAGAAATTTTTGCCGTGTCTTTATTATCGCAACAATTTCGACAGGATAATTTTTCGCAAAAATTAGAACTTGCGTTTTAAATTTGATAGCTTTACTTAAATGCAAATTTCCGGAAATCGCAATAATTAATCTTGCATATTTATAAATGTTTCTTGAATATAAAATCAACAAACCATCTGCATACACATGTACCATATAAAGACTGTCACAAATCAACGATTGTAAAATAATACATTGGTTTATAAACTTGCTTATATACTATAATTGTTATAATACTTATGAAATGACTAATGTTTTGTCATCTTGTATACATTTAAGGTATATCAGATTATCAAGTCTAAGATTTTTTTGAATAAGTTCATCTTAATTTCTGTAAAACATATTTCTATACAAGCTGTTTATAAAATGGCTAGAAATTATCTTGTTCATGGTTATAGCTCCATTGATAAGACCTGATTTGGCATAGGTTAATCTGCTTTGTAATTGAGGGACATTTTATTCAAGGAAAGGTAACATGTGTGACTGCTTTCTCCTCATCTAATAAATATCTCCATCCAAACACATCACAAAATTGTTACTGAACAGTAAATAACAGTGATATTTCTTAAGTAGTATGTTTCTCAGTTACTTATCTATTTATCCTATGTAAAAATCAGGTAGTCATTAAGTAATAGACATTAACTGGACAATAGCTTAGGTTATCTCCCTTTTTTCCATTGATGTAATCATTACAAATCAGGGAACTGTACATATAATTGTCATATACAAAGAAAAGTTGCCTTAATCTGGGACATGATATGTTAACTCTTCCCAGCCTTAATTAACAGTTTAATAAGATACAATATATAATTTTTGAAGACAAAATGGAAATAGTTTGGTTAATGAATACAAAAAATTAGGTCTCATAGTAAACAATTTGTTTGTCACCTAATTTCAATGTTTTAATCAGTTATTTTTCACAACACTGTCTTTGGAATACTGTAGAAATTTAATGATGAAAGTCTTTTAAGTGGTAGAATGTTTTGTCTTCAATGAATCAGTATGTATTTTTCAAATATTTTGTGTTGAATCTTCAGTGCTATAGGAATAATTATTCTAAAATACATAAACATTTTCCCCTGTGTGCTGTTTTTGGTTTTAGTTAATATCAATAAAACAGATGAGTAACCTTTACTTTAAGTGCCTTTGGGTAGACCATAATTTCGAAACAAAAAATGTTGACATTTGAATTCAACTAAAATCTTTTGAGGATGTCTAAATGATATATCGATTCCGTTTTAACTGTCATTAAATTGGATTTTTTTTTACTATTTCTCTCTAATCGTGAGATTTATTTTTAAAAAAGTTAACCATTCATTCTTCAGAAGTGTTAGATTTCAAGGAGAATATAAGATAACTATTGCATGACCATCTGCTATTAGAGAAATTTGAAAAGATTAATGATTGAGTACGTGTGAATAAATTTAAAAGTCCCCAATGAGTTTTTAAAAATAGATTGAAAACATATATATATTGTTATGTAACACACATTGCGTGTTGATAGGATAGCAATTTTATGGCAAGAATTTATTGTATCAGACTATGGTCACATGATTCACTGTACTTATTCTTTGAAGTTAAAGACAATTTTATTTTCACGCATACACTTGCATTATTACAAGGATCAGTTCTTTTATTTTTAAACCCAATTCTTTTATTTTTAAACCAAAATGTATAATTTTCACATTCTAAATTGAATCATTTGTCATTTTTTCCCCAAAAAATGTTAAGACATAATACAGGTCACACAGTTTAAAGTTGCTGAAGTTACAAAAATAGAAAGGGATTTTCCCATGTTAAATTTGTATTTTAAAGATTTATCACTAAGATACAGAAGGCAATCTTCTGGAGTGTGAGAAAGTGCAAAAGGGTGAAATTTTAGCCTTCTTAGTTTTATTTTAAATCATTCTTTTATGTTTTTTGTAAACTATTTTACCCATGTGGCAGATGATGAAGACTCTGTATGAGTTTGTTTTATTCATGGGGCAGATGTTATTATTCACAGACTGGTTAGTGGAAAGTGAATATAGCCGGTGTACGCAATGAACTTACCCGTAGATCTCTTTGTTTTACTACTATATTGTTAGCCTGGAATCATTTCCTGGGTATTACATAAGTGCTATTATTAGATTGTTGTTATTTGTTGACATCGTTGAACCATGATATGTAATGGATTTGTTGAGGGGTTAAAACCTCCAATACTTTTGAAATACTTACAAAGTATTTCATTAATGTAGTTGTGTCAAAATAAAAAAAAAAGATTTTTATCACAATTTGTCTTTTTTTGTTCAATTGCCACATATTCCAACAAATTTTATAAACCAGACAACACAGGGATGTTAATCTAGCTGGGGCCATAAACTAGTTGTATAAAGCATTGTATTTCAGAAGGTAGAAGACCTATATGCTTTATACCTTGTATACTGATACAGATGTCTTATGTTATGAAGTTTCCTTCTTTTATATGTCCATTGTTCTTGACCTCATTTTCATGGTTAAGGGACTGCTTAAAAATAAAGGTATAGTTTTTATGTCTCTGCCGTGGCGTAGGGGGCATTCAGTTTTACCCTTATCCATCTGAATGTCCCTAGATTAGTTTCCATTCTCTAACTTTAGTTTGCCTCAACCAAATCTTATGAAACTTATACACAATACTTATTACCACTAAACACAGATCAAGTTCAAAATATGGTGGTGTCACTTACACTCTTCTCTAGTTATGTCCCTTTATAAATAGAAAATTGATGAATTTCCCTTATATTTACAAGCGGGGGCATCTGTGTCCAATGGACACATTCTTCTTTTATTTTTCATGTGAATTACTCACTTGTTATGAAGATTAGGATATATATATTTGGTATATGTGATCTTTGCAAGGTCTACATATCTGTCAGGCAGGGTTCTCCTGACCCCTTGACCTCATTTCCAGGATCAGTGATCTTTTCATAGACAAGTCTGTATCTCAAATACTATACCAATAGGTCAGCTATATTTGGTGTATGAAAGTAATGTAAGGTGTACATGTCACATGTCTCAGTGGCTGCTCCAGAACTTTTTAGGGGGGGGGGGGGCACTGACTGGACTTCCATAAGAGTGGGCCCTCTACAGTCATGCTTCAGTGATTCCCTATAAAATCAACCAAATTCCCCCCCCCCCCCCCCCCCCCCCCTTTGGATCCGCCTATGTGTCTGACTGGCAGGGTTCATCTGACCTTGACCTCATTTACATGAATCACTGACAATGACTTTCAACTTTAATTCAATCATGATAGGCTAGAAATTTCAGTGTGTGCAATCTTGTTAGCTGAGTTGCCAAATTTGGTCTCAGTTTAGAATATGATGAATGGTGTTAGGCTGTCTGGCTTCCAGACAAAACATTACGACCCTAAAGAATATCTTCACAAAACTTGGGTTGAAAATGTCCCTTGGGAAAAGGCAAAATTTTGGTTTCCAGATGTTATCTTTTGAGTTTTATGCCCAATTTTACCAAATTTGATTTGATAATGCTTCTGTTAGAAGAATTAAATTAATGAAAATCCAAGAAATTGTATATACAACATTTAAGATGAATTTCTCATTTTTGCATTTGGCCAAATTAAACCTGGAAGATCAAAAGATGTGCTAAGAAATATGTGTTTTTTTTTATTCAGCCACATTCATTTTCAACCAAAACTTTAAGAAACCTGTGATTAAAAGACCTCATTCCACATTGAGATAAACACAAAATCGCCAAAATTATATAGTAATAAAATTATCTTATCAATTTTGGGTGGATGTTAAGCAACCAACAATCAATCAATCAATCAATTTTGGGTCCTCCTAGGGTGTAGTGGTGCACCTTCTATTTATCATTTTACACTAAGATGACATTAAATGTAATTGGATATCCTGCATTGATCCTGCATTTTTATGCCCCACCTACGATAGTAGTAGGGGCATTATGTTACGGTCTGCGTCCGTTCGTCCGTCCGTCCGTCTGTCCCGTTTCAGATTAAAGTTTTTGGTCAAGGTAGTTTTTGATGAAGTTGAAGTTCAATCAACTTGAAACTTAGTACACATGTTCCCTATGATATGATCTTTCTAATTTGAATGCCAAATTAGAGTTTTGACCCCATATTCACGGTCCACTGAACATAGAAAATGATAGTGCGAGTGGGGCATCCGTGTACTATGGACACATTCTTGTTTTCCTTAACATAAGGTCAAATTGCTAAGAGACCCTTCTTAATTATTGAATTTTACCGTTTTGCATTCACTGTAATATATTGGTGTTAAACGCCCTCACGGTTGTAATACCCGTAATAAATCGTGACGTGTTCCAAATGGTTAAACCATCAAAGGAAAGAAGCAATTTGTTGACGGAATTAGTTTATATAACATGTAGCCCTTGTAGAAAGATGGTACAAACAAATTGTAAAAGGAAGTGACCTTGAGTACACAGTACAGTCTCGTGAACTATTTAATTTATGGAGGATGATATAATCTTGATTTATCATGAAAAACGTGTCTTCTTTAACCTAGATTAACTACAATTTATCTGTGTCATCATCTTTAATGGAAGAATCAGTTTACACGGGTCTCTGTGTCCTCATTCCTTTCTAATGCGTCTATTACAGATAATAGCAGTCTCAATTCATACCAGCATATCAGGTTAGTTATACGTTTTGCGGGTTTCAGAGAATATACAAAAACTGGAAATGTTCAAGAAATACGGAAGCAAAGCTGCCAATACGTCACTTTTCTCTTCATGGTCAAATTGGTTTAGGAAAAAATATTAAATAAGACCAATACTCTCACAAATTGTTTATCCTCGTACATCCTATATAAATCATATAATAATGTTTAATGAATGTTTTGTCTAAAATGATTGTGTATATGTTTGTCTTTTTTCTTATTCAGTGTCTGGCATAAAGATTGGTAAATTCTCATCTGTATATATAAGTCTGTATGTAAGACTTTCGTATATTGTCACTGTACCTCCCATGGTTGTGAAGAAAATTATATATCAGACTGATCAGGAACATATATATTGACATATGTTAGATATACTGTTCCCAGGACTGATAAACTGGTTTGTCTTGATAGCACTGAAGCCAGACATAAATATTTACAGCAAGATTTGTATGTCTCGCTTAGTTATATTATGGTGATGTTCAGGAACGCAGCAATTTATATCAATAGACGAGATTATCAATTATTTTATTTCATCAGTATAAACGACCATAATCTTAAGTTACTTATCCGGTACTCTTTGAGTTACAGCTTACAATTACTACGTACTCTTTACAGCATTCATTGACAATAATGACGACTAGACATCCAATCATATGTAAACCCTCATTCATATATGTCAATTATTATTCCGTCAACAGAGGGGGATTAAAAAAAAGTCTTCCAAAATAACTAAGTTCCTACAGAGACATATGTATATATGTCTCTGGTTCCTAGCATTTGAAACCTGAACAAATCAAATCTGTCCAAATTAGACGTAAATCTTCAATCTGTGTGCAATCACCGTCTGTCGGACGGGATAATGGACGAACGTTGTCGAGCGGTTACTGAGGGGACAACCATTTGATTCTGATTGGGGGGCTGGCAGATTTTGGAAATAAATATTCTGGCCCCCATTTAAGTAAAAATAAATAATATTGCCTTATCATTACACATGAAAATAAATATTCTGGCCCCAAATATTCAATATGTTCAAAATATTTTTTGCTCGCTTCGCTCGCCACATTTTCAAAGGTTTCCAATAGTAACAGATAATCCAAAAAAAAAATGCTCGTATCTGTAGTGACGTTATTGATTTTAACGAGTGTTATCTGTGTATTACTGGTAAAATCATTAAGTCAGGCCATGGATAAATGAATGTTGGTTTCCCATAACATGTGAAAATTATTAAGGTTCGGCAGGCAGGAAATTTTTTATGCCCCCGCCGAGGCGGTGGGGGCATTAAGTTTTACCCTTGTCCGTCTGTACGTACGTCCGTCCGTATTTCCCAAAATTGGTTTCCGTTCTCTAACTTGAGTTTGCCTCAACCAAATGTTATGAAACTTATACACAATGCTTATTACCACAAAAAACAGATCAAGTTTGAATTTTGGTGGCATCACTTTTACCGTTCTAGAGTTATGCCCCTTTATACATGGAAAAATTGCAAAATTTTTAGTTTCCGTTCTCTTACTTAAGTTTGCCTCAACCAAATGTTATGAAACTTATACACAATGCTTATTACCATAAACACACAGATCAAGTTTGAATTTTGGTGGCATCACTTTAACCGTTCTAGAGTTATGCCCCTTTATAAATGGAAAAAATGCAAATTTTTTAGTTTCCGTTCTCTAACTTAAGTTTGCCTTAACCAAATATTATGAAACCTTATTACCACAAACACACAGATCAAGTTTGAATTTTGGTAGTGTCACTTTAACCGTTCTAGAGTTATGCCCCTTTATAAATGGAAAAATTGCAAAATTTTTATTTTCATCTAAATATCAAGTAATTTTTAAAATTGGAGTTATCTTCCTTTGTCCATGATTACAGTTGAATCAACTACAATCAATGCTTTATACAATGCAATGTTTAATTTTGACTTCCACTGATAAAACACAGATCAAGTTGAATATGGGTAGTGTCACTTTAACCATTATTGAGTTATGCCCCTTTATAAATCGAAAGATTGCAAAATTTTTAGTTTCCATTCTGTAACTTAAGTTTGCCCCAACCAAACATTATGAAACCTATACACAATATTCATTACCACAAAACTAAGATCAAGTACAAATTTTTAGTTTCCGTTTTCTAACTTTAGTTTGCCTCAACCAAATGTTATGAAACTTATACACAATTTTTATTACTACATAAAACAGATTAAGTACGAAATTAGGTGGCGACACTTTTACCATTCTTGAGTTATGTCCCTTTATAAACATAAAAATTGCTGAATTTTTTAGTTTGTCTCAACCAAATGTTATAAGACTTATACACAACCGTTCTAGAGTTATGCGTGTTAAAAAACAGAAAAATTGCTGAATTTTTAGTTTCTGTTCTCTACTTAAGTTAGCCTCAACCAAATGTTATGAGACTTGCATACAATGCTTTTTACCACAAAACTCAGATCAAGTTCAAATTTGGGTAGCGTCACTTTTACCGTTCTTCAGTTATGTCCCTTTATAACTATATGATATGCAAGCGGGGGCATCAACTGTGGACACATGTGGACACTATCCACATTTATTTTATTTTATTTTATTTTTTTTTTTTTGTGAAAAATCGGTTTCGTTATACAGAGAATGTTGTTGTTAACCCGACAGTTAATTATTGTTTTACATTCCATCTTGTGGTATAAGCTACATGTATGTAAACCAAAGGAATGATAATTTAGCGATGTTGACACACTTTAAAGAGATTATCAGACAATTTTAAAAAGCATCATTAAAAATTGTGAAAAGAAACCACAGCAAAAAAAAAATCTGCAAACAAAAAGAAAAAAAGGAAAAAAAGAATTGACACAGAGGGTAAAAACTGACCCGGCAGAGTTATTGGAAACAAAAATCATTTTTGCTTGACCTCAGGGATTTCGTTACCAAAAACCTTTAAAACCTTTACTAAATTCTTCCATAGATACAAAGATTTGGTTTGCAAGTTTGGCTGTACTTTTAGAAAAATTCCTTATGTTTACTGTAATGTTGTTTACCGAGTCCGGAAAGTTGGATACGATTTGGGTAAACTCATCAGTCCTTTAAATAAACTTATTCTAAAAGGTTACCAATTCAAGACTGTAATTAGATCTTTGAATGTTGTTTTATTGGTATAAATATTGATTTTGTTATCAGTTAAATACAACCAAACTAATAAATATCATTGTTATTTACATATGCACATTCACGGTTCTACAATCTGTCGAGACCTGTAATTTTGCATTGCACAAGGTCATATTTTCTCTGATTGACATCTGTACACTAAATCCATTGGATTTTTGATGTGTACCGATTGATACTTTGGTCATAGATACATGATTCTTATTAGTTGTTATTGGCTTTGAACTACAGAAATGACCCCACAAATGTAGCTGTCAGTGACTGCGAGTACTCTCAGATCTGTACTTAGTGTCCTTTCTGTTGTTAGGGATGAGGCATGTATAAATACCCTGCCACGTCAGGTCTGTGTTTTTGTTACTTGTTTTTTCTGCTTTGTATCGATCTGATGAGTTAAGCCCTTTTCAACTGATATTTATAGTTTGTTCATATGTTGGGGTGTTACTCCACTTTCCCAGGTTGGACGCAGGGTTGGGCGCCCGCAAACATGTTCAACCCCTTCACATTCTATAATGTGCCTATCCAAAGTTAGGAGCCTGTAGTTCATTGGTTGTAGTTGGTTCATGTCTGTCATATTAATTTTTCGTAAATTGTTTTGTTATAAATTAGGCCGATTAAGTTTTCTCAATTGAATAGTTTCATATTTTTCATGTCGGGGCCTTTTAAAGTCGACTATATGGTATGGGTTTTTTCTCATTATTGAAGGCCGTATGGTTGCATATAATTGCTTAAATCCACTTTATTTGAACTATGGTGAATAGTTGTCTCATTAGCAATCATACCCCATTTCCTTATTTTTGTATTGTCGGACGGATAAAATTTATAGAATTGAATATTTTTACAGAAGTATTGTAAGTGGTTAGTTTTGGAGGGCGTAGTGTACGTCCACCCTCTTTTTGACCTGAAAAATGAAATTTTGTTAATAAAACCTTCCCCAAAAAAAAAATTGACTTGCTACGCTCGCCAGAAATTTTACCATTTTGACAATAACACCCCCCTTTTTTTGAACCCAGTACTCAACCTTGATTGTTAGGCTATTATATTTTCACATTAATAGAATATATATTCTAAACTTCATTTTGACTGCTCTATTTGTTTGAAGTTGTATGTGTATCCCACAAATAGATGATCTGTACCACAAAAGTTAAATTACTTTACTTTAAGGGGTGAAATGTTGATTTTGAGTGGGACGAGGATGGACAATTTTTTCGTCAATTTGTGAATGAGCAGAAAATTAATATTCTGGCCCTGGTCTGAGTGAAAATAAATAATCTGGCCGCCTTTATGTTGGAAATAAATATTCTGACCTCGTCGAATTTGTCACCCCCTCAGAATCAAATGATCGTCCCCTAACTATGATCTGCTCTCGCTTCTGTCATGATTGAGGTGTTAGAATATCTGTTCATCTTTTAGCCATGTTGTTGCCTTTTGTCTTTGTCACGATTAATAAAATAAGGTAAGTCGGGTCTGTACAACATAGAAAACACAAGCTCTCAGGAGCCTTTCACAACAATAGAAACATATACAACCTGAACAGTAAAACACTTCGTATAAAGTTAATAACAGAAAAAAGATAACTCATGTTTTATGGCATCTCTAGTACCTCTTTTAATTTTACATCCATACATGTATCAATTGTCCTCTTTATCTTGTACACCAGCAATGACAAATGTCGTCTTTGGAAATAAGCTTTAGGCACATATGAAGAATACAGGAATGGTAGTTTATATATGGAGATGACGCAGTTTATGCCCTTATCAGATGTGGAGATTTCTACTTTGATACCAGTAAGCCAATTTTAGCTATATGACGTATTATAGTTGATTTCATGGAATGGTACTGCTTTCATCTCATTAGACAATTTTTGTCGAAGTCTTGCGTTTAAAGTTTTTAATTCAGATTGAAAACGTGAATTACCTATATTTTTTGTTTGTTTTAGGAATATGTAAATATAAGCTAATATCACATTTTCAGCGCTTCGTGCAAAATGTGATGGTCACTTGCTTTCATATCGTATAAATTACAAAAAATAGCATTCAATTCTATTTTGTATCTGCCTTACCGATGGCCGGTAATCTTAACCAGTAAGACTATATATACATGTATATATTTATATATATATATATATATATATATATATATACCAAAATAACAAAAAGCTAAACCTTTCCACTTAATAAATAAAAATAGAATTTCAGTGCAATCTTGTTAATCTCTCATGCTCGTTTATCAACATGTAATTTTAAAATTTCTCGTAAACTAAATATTTATCAGAGTATTTGGCATTACAATTTAGTGAAATGATAGATTAATTAGTGGGCTGCGAAGAATTTAGATTTAAATTATTTGGATATGTCCCAGTGCATTGTTAAAAATAAACATTGGATATAAACATTATGTAATAAATTCAACATAAGTTATATTTAAAATTTAAAGAATTCAGCCTGAAAATAACTTTTCCATTTGCCTTTCTCAGCAGTTTGGTAGCAGACTCATTTGTATAGCTTCATCCACAACTTGTAGAGTAATTTCCAAGGACTAATCCAGTGTTACGTGTCAATATGAGTGAAAGGTTTGAAATATATGTCAATGAAACAGCACTCTAACAACACAATAAAAACCGAATCAGAAACCTAAAAGTTAACGTATGGTCTTCAACAATAGGCAGTATTTATATCATATGTCAAGTTCTAAATCATCCTTAGTCTAGACAAGTCTTCAATAGATTTAGTATTTACTTTCAAAAATCTGTCATTAACAGTTACGTCTTTAAAGTACACAACACAGTAAGATCACTGACGATGTTTCTGAGTTGGGACAGGCTTGTTTACATTTGATGGGTTAAAACTGGTTTCTTAGTGCTCCTCTCTCAATCAGTGGAAGAACAAAAGGAATATAGATGAATTGGTGTTTAAAGTCTAGCTGCAAAGATAGATAGATGAATTGTTGTATAACGTCCAGCTGCAAGTAGATAGATGGATTCGTGTTTAACGTCCAGCTGCAAAGGTAGATAAATGAATTGTTGTTTAACGTCCAGCTACAGATACATGAGTATCAGGATGTGAACAGGTTAATGGTATATGCATATGAAACCATGCATTGTACAGACGGACACGCTGAGCCGGATTTTAACGTGTTGGTTCACTAAGTAATAGTTCACAAGATGATATGTCACCCTCCCAGACACATTACTCTGACTCCGAGTCGACTAGGTTGGCTCTGTTCTTACTACCAATTTCCACTAGCTCACTTAATAATATCGGCATTACAAAAACAAACACAGCTGCTACAAATAAAACAGTATTATATTTTATTGCATAAAAAATGTTCTAAGAAAACTGAAAATTTATCAATGAGCCATGAAAATGAGGTCAAGGTTAGACGAACCCTGCCAGACAACATGTACACCATTCAATCATTCCGTACACCAAATAGAGTTCACTTATTGTTTATGGTATCTAAGAAACAGATATAACCTTGAAAATTTAACATTGACCAATAAACCACTGGAATGAGGTCAAGGTCAAATGAAGCGTCGGACATATACACCATACAATCTTTCCATACACAAAATTTAGTTGACCCATTGCTTATAGTATCGGACAAACTGACAAAACTATGAAAAACGTAACGTTGACCAAAGTCAAGGTCATATGAATATAAAAAAGAAGATGTGGTATGATTGCCAATGAGACAACTCTCCACAAGAGACCAAATGACACAGAAATTAACAACTAAAGGTCACCGTAAGGCCTTCAACAATGAGCAAAGCCCATACCGCACAGTCAGCTATAAAAGGCCTCGAAATGACAATGTAAAACAATTCAAACGAGAAAACTAACGGCCTAACTTATGTACAAAAAATGAACGAATAACAAATATGTAACACATAAACAAACGACAACCACTGAATTACAGGCTCCTGACTTGGGACAGGCACATACATACAGAATGTGGCGGGTTTAAACATGTTAGCGGGATCCCAACCCTCCCCTAACCTGGGACAGTGGTGTAACAGTACAACATAAGAACGAACTATAAAAATCAGTTGAAAGAGGCTTTACTCATCAGATGGATAAAAATACAAATACTACAAATACAAGTGGACGTGGCCGGGTACTTGTACATCCAAACAACAAAAAGACACTAAGTACAGATCTGAGAGTACTCGCAGTTACTGCCACTAACAACTAATAAAAAAAATCATGCATCTAAGACTAAATTATCAATCCGTACACATCCAACATCCAATGGATTTAGTAAAAGACGTCATAAACAGTCAGAGAAAAACATGACCTTGTTCAATGCCAAGATACAGGTATCGACAGATTGTAGATCCATGAATGTGTATATGTATATAGCAATAATATTTAGTTTGCTTTTTTAAATTTACTGATAACAAAATCAATATTAGTACCAATAAAAACAAGATTTAATGATCTAATTACAGTGTTGAATTGGTAACCTTTTAGCATAAGTTTATTTAAAGGATCGATAAGTTTACCAGGATCGTTTCTAAATTTCCGGGCACGGTAAACAATATTGCCGTAAAAATGAGGATGTGCAATCCCGTTTGAAATAAGTTAACTACAGGTACAACCAAACTTTAAAACCAAATCTTTATATCTGTGGAAGAATTTAGTAAAGGTTTTAAGTAATTTGTGGTAACGAAATCCCTGGCTTAATAATTTACCAGTAATACATAGATTACGTTCGTTAAAATCAAAAACGTCACAACAGACACGGGCATAGCGAACGAGTTGTGAAATATAAACACCGTAAGATGGTGCCAAAGGAACATCACCATCCAAAAAGGGAAAATTAACAATAGGGAACGAAAAATCGTCCCTTTTGTCGTAAATTTTAGTGTGGAGTTTCCCGTGTAAAACCGAAATATCTAAATCTAGGAAAGGACAGTTGTCACCGTTTAAATTTGATTTATTTAATTAAAAGTAAGTTCCTTTGGGTAAATTTCGGCAGTATATTGAGAAAATTCTTAATTATTTAACGAAAAAATATCATCAAGATAACGGTAAGTGTTGTTGAATTTATCAATTAAATGCAATTTTGACGGGTCTTTACTGAGTTTGGTCATAAACTGTGATTCACAACAGTACAAAAACAAGTCTGCTATTAAAGGGGCGCAATTAGTGCCCATAGGAATACCTACAACCTGTCGATAAACTTTGCTGCCGAAACGTACATAAATATTATCAAGGAGAAAATTAACAGCTTCAATCAATTTATCACACCTCCAGTAAGTATATCTAGCATATTTACCTTTGAAACCTGCTTGGCAGACATGTACACTACAATAATTGCATACACCAAATATAGAGGCCCTATTGCTTATAGTATCTGCGAAATAGACCATTTCATTTCTTCATTCTTTTTTTATACCATTGTTCTCTATTCTTTATCTATTTTGCCCATTATTCTCTATTCTTTATGTTTTTGCCCTTTATTCTGCATCTTTTGCCCATTATTTCTCTATTCTGAAAACTCCACAAGACCCTCTTACATGAGACAACTGCATACAAGGTATGAAGCATCCAGGTCTTTTACTATCTAAAATATAGAGCTTTATACAAATAGTTGACGCTGCAGCCGCCACCCCCAGATAGGAATCCCGATGTCTCGCATTCGAACGAAGTTTGAGTTTTATTTATACGTCAGTTACATCAGACGTTAAGATAGAAAACAATTCTTCTCTTACAGGAAACTGTCTAATATCGGGGACCTCAACATCGTTCAAGACCGAAAGGTTATGAACTGTCTGAAAAAGAACCAAAATGTTGTCCTCCATAAAAAAGGAATTGGAAAGAGTTTCGTCATATTATTAAAGATGCTTTTTCGTTCTATTGTAATATAAAAGGAAGTTATCGGATAAAAAAATACTAAATTCTTATTTGAATAAATGTATGAATAGCTGTGGATATTCGAATCACATTTCGAAGAATAATCTAGATATCAATAAAAGGAATAAATTTCGTCAATTTCTAGGATTATAAAAACATTTAAAAAATACTCAAATAACGTAATGTATCCAGACTGGCCGACAAGCAGCCAACAATTCTACATTTCTGTTCTCGAGTTCTTGTCAGTAAGTGTTTTCAACTAATTTTTCTGCCATTTTAACTAGTTCCCTGACTTTATAATTAATGTTTATTGTTGTAATGAAGAATATGCAAATAATGGAATTAATTATTTTTCTAATTTAAAAAATTTAGGGTGTTTTAAGTAAATTACGTTCTATTGGTGGTCTCGTTTCAATTCGGTTGACAGTTATGACTTTTCGACTTTATATTACACTTCCACAAAAGCTTATCAAACAGAAGCTTTCTAATTAAATCAAATTAGTCCTTTGAAAAATCTGATTGCAAAATTTTTATAGTGTACTTTTATAAGGAAAATGGTAAATATGGTAGCTACACTTAATGGAACTGTGAACTGTACATTTTCAAGTTGACAACACGGAAAACTCTATTCTAAAATCAACGACAAAATGAGACGATGTTTCGATTCATTTAATTAATTATTTTCTTTTTTTGGATGGTGATGTTCCTTTGAGCCCATGAATTTAGATACGACCCATGTTAACTCTAAATTGATGCTTCGAATAACTTATCCTGAAAGATTATCAATTTTACACTTTAGTTCGATCTTTGAGTATTGTCTTCATTGGTACTTACATTGATTAAAACACTAAGCTAATTGTGTATTGCTATAAGGTTGATCCTACATCCTGTCAATACTTATATGTTTGCATTGCACAACGCTGTGTTTTCCCCAGACTGTTTATAACGTGTTTATACTAAATCCATTGGATGTGTACTGATTGAAATTTTAGTCAGGAGTTGAACACGGTTTTAGTAATTGCAAGTACTTTTAGATTGGCAGCTAGTGTGTGTGTTTCTTAAAATAGTTTTGAGTTCAAAGTGCCGATCTGATGAGCCAAGCCTTTTCCAGCTGATTATTATAGTTTGTTTAAGTTGTGCTGTTACATCGCTGTCCCAGATTTAGGCGTGGGTTGTTCAAACATGTGTAACCCTGTGATATTATGGAGCGTATCTGTCCGAAGTCAGGAGCCTGCAATTCAGTGGTTGTCGTCGGTTGTTTTCTGCTCTTTTTTTTTATTGTTTTTAATATAAATCAGGTAACTGGTTTTCTCGTTTTGGACTAATTCATATTTTCTTTTTTGTCATGTCTGGGCCTTTTATTGCATCTTTGCCGGGTGAGTTTTTACTATACGGTATGGGTTTTTCTCATTGTTGAACCCCGAACAATGACCTTTAGTTGTGTACATTCTCGTTATTTGGTCTTTGAAGAATAATTGTCTAATTGTCAATCATTCCATATCTTTTTTTTAATTTTTAAATCAATGAAATTACATTATCTGAGTTGTAAAACATACTTTAAAAATGTGCATCAATAAAAATAAAAATTTGTTTTTGTAAAAACACTCATTGTCATAAGATGAAATCACATAATTGTCTTCACGTAAATGAAAGGTTTTACAAATGAATTGCATTCCTGCATAAACATTTGCTTATATAATTAATAATCAGGAACGATTCATGATTTGCTGTTATTTGCTGGCAAAGATGGCGAAAGACTCTCATTCTAACTTATGACAGTTACTGTTTAGAAGCACAGGCAAGAGACGAGATTAAAAAGTACACATCCATACTTTTGTTAAATTTCGTCTCGTACCTGTATTTATAAGTACGCTGGCTGATATTCTTATTTAAGAATTAAGTAAGAATTCATAATCGACAGCTTAAGTTGGTGATTTGGTCTTTCAATTAATCTTGTCACAAGAAGAGTCCATCTTCGGAAGCCGTATCGTGTCCTTTGATAATATTTTGATTAACTTCTAATGTAAGTCTGCTTTCTAGATGACATTTAATCCGCTTCTGAAGTTATTCACATCTACTACAGAAAGACATTCACTACTACAAGCTGTTTATTTCATTATCTCTATTGTTGTTGCTTTTGATGTCTATTTCTGCAATTAATGACTTTTCCTGAAAGTGATTACCGTGAATCATATGTATGAAATGTACACTGGTAATTATATCAATTAACAGTTCAGATGATCGCTCCGTCAGGTATTTACAAACTCCCACGATCTCAGCTGATTACGAAAACAAACCAGAGAAACTATTTCACCTACATAGAATGTTTGCTGATTTATATGGATTCTGAATGATGCAGTATTCATACCTGTACAGAATGTTAAAATTTGCATCTCAATAAGAATTTCTGTAGTATCCTGTCGTTTTGTACTTAGTTCGGACTTGGCTGATTTCTTTGTCTGGGGTGCATCATTTCCATAATGCATACTAATAACTGATTATCTGATCGTACCAGTAACCTGTTTCTTTTACACTGGCAAAGTGTTGCATATTTGTGTAGATATATGACAAGAAGTCCAATAATTCCCGTGTCTCTAACCTGTCATTATACTAAAGTATACTATTTACTCAAGTTTCATTTTCTAAAAGAGCATGGTAATTTGGAAGTTGCAAGGAATCAGATTTCACACTACGAAACACCGACAGTTAACGTAATTTGGGCCGGCGGATTAACCTGATTGTATTCATCCTGTATTACTTCTGACAACCAAACTACATATGTCAATTGCTGCCATTTTCTTTTGGAACCAACTCGAGAAAAAAATTGAGATATTACTTGCACCTCATTTGGACTCTCGTCAATAGTTGTCTCATTGGCAACCATACCAAATATCCTTATGTTTACATTGCCAGCTACTCAATACACAGTAAGACTTACAATGAATGAGTTCCATAGACACATTGTAAGAAATTGTCCAACGGTCTGAGTCAAAGCAAGAGTAAGTCTACTAGAACAACTGGAACTTCTCATAACGTGACAACATTAAAACCCAATTATCAGAAAAAATTAAGCTCATATGAAATTTTTAAACTCAAATACTGAGCCGTTACTCGGTAAAAAGTAGTTACAGAACATAGCTCACATGTGATATAAAACTACGTCATATATCAATTCATCGCATGCAAGACAATCTCACAACAAGGATGAACATTTCTTTTCATGATATTATTTTCCATGTTAATTTCTCGCTGTGTTATAGTAGTCTCAGTTTGTAGTAATCATTTAAATTCGTTTATATCACAGGCAAAACGACCGATAGAACGCTGTGTTCTCGTGTTGTGTGTTCAAGGAGTTTGCTTGTTCGTATAGGTTCTGGTGACAATCTTTTAAATGACTTTTGTTTTATTTCAAGTCAAGCAAAATTCCGTCATGTCACCAAATACACAATTTAATGACTGTTCTGTTGTTAATCGAAAGTCTGCAGAATTTGAATATCACTGTAAACAGTTTGCCTTAAATAATTAATTTTTAGAAAGACTTGTCATCTTGTCGCCTTTAATTTTTTTTTTTTTTTTGCAATGGCGTGCTTCGATTTAAGACTGTTAAATGTCCCTTTGGTATCTTCTGCCACTGTTTTGCTTCTAGTTATATATTTTATACTTTTACGTAAATCCAGCCGATAAATTCATGACGAAGTTAATAATTATGTTCTTCGACTGTCCAATTACCATCCAAGTAAATATAGGATTTCCTGTCTTTTCCTATTTTCTTGTAATTACAGTTCTTGAAAGATCTATATGTACTTACTTCATATCACCATAACCACGTCATTGAAAACAACCGATCACATATCCCAAGGTTACAGACGTGGACTAGATGACTGTGCCATCTTCATTGATATTTTCATGAGAAGCAAACAAATAAACGAATTAAAATGAAATAAAAATTCCATGGCCGGTTACATCTCTTTAGCTCATTTTATAATACACTTAAGATTAATGGAGTTCATGCCTTGTGGTCATAAAAATTTCGAGCACGATTATCGTACTCAGACTCAAAAATTATCCAATCAAAATACAAGTACTGGATTCGGTGTTTCAAGTTTTTTACTCCGAGTACTGAGTAAAGTTTTTCAGACCGAGAGTCCAGGGCCTGGGTTTGTGAACATATACATATCACCTGTAATGCTTTTGACACCGATCGTTACATCAGTATACAAGTCAACAACTTGATGTCACATGCAATCCAGATAACATTAATGCTATCTTACTTGAATGATTGCTATAATGCCGATCTGTACGGATAGCTAATCATTGAAAATAATATCAGCCATACTTACTTGCATGGAGAATCGTCATATCATGAACATGTTCAATACAATGTATGTATGATTAAGAACTTGTGGTATGAATGCCAATAAGACAACTCTCCATAAGAGACCAAATGACACGGAACTTAACAACTATAGGTCACCGTACGGCCTTCAACAATGAATAAAACCCATACCGCATAGTCAGCTATAAAAGGCCCCGAAATGACTAATTTCGGCTATGTATGATTAAGAACTTCATTAGTGTCGTTTGACTTATTTTGATTCCATGGTATTTTTACAGTGTTGTTGAAATATTGATGTACTTGTCATGTTTTATGCCCTTGGTCAAGTTTACTTAAATATTATATAGAAAATCACACCGTTTTATCGGCTATCGGCACGACAGATACAATAGAGTTGTTTTGGCTTTGGAGTACATCAGATTTTTTGTCTGTATTTGCGATTGTTATTGCTACACTTTACGATTTTGCAATCGTGTACAGTAGATTTTGATTTATGTTACATTTTGCATCGACAGCAGCCGGTACATTTGTAATAGGGTGCAAAAATGAAGGACAAAAATCGTAACCTGTTAAGTAAGTATATCTATAATATACAATCTTAAGACAGTATGTACAAGAAAAAGGAATAAAAAAAATACCATACTTAACATGTAATGTACATTTAAAAATGTCAATGGCCATATTCTTGGAAAACCAATTCAAACGTTCCCTTGTCAAAAATAATCCTTCCTTAAAACATTGATATAAGAGATTCTCCAGTAATAGATTCAGTTCGAAGGGGTCCGGTTGTCGAATGTCTCCTTGGCATTTTTTACATCGATGTATTATTTAATCGGTTGTTCAAGCCCCTTAGAGCTCATGTTGCATGCTTATTATGTTTATACAATATTTAACCTATACTCCAAATTAAATTTACTTACTACTTATTTACATCATAATTCGCGACAGAATTTAGTCTGAAACGATATATCCCAAAGAGCTCAATTCAAGTTGCTGACTTCGTAGACTGGTATCCGGCCTTTAATTGACAAGTTTGACAATATTTGTCTATTCCGAAGCAATACTGAATATTTTACGGAGGGAACCGACCTACTGATGTCGCTTCTGATAAAGATGCCCTTATACATGTGCATATAAGAAAAAGCGCATGAAATAAACCAAATATTACAAGGAACACGAATGTATCAGAGTTATATCTTAACGCTGTGATAAAGCATTACAATAGAAGCAAACACTACAAGCAACAGGAATTTAACAAATTGTTGGCATGGTAGAAAACAGAAAAGCTTAGTCATTTTTATATTTATATACAAATTTCTCACCTGTTTAAACAGGTGCACCAAGAATGCACAACACCTGAATCTACTAAAAATCCTCTGTTCAAACGCACTTTCTCACAAACTTTATAATACGAAATAAAATTGGTTACCGTATGACTTATGTCGACAGGAATATCTGAAATTTCACAAGATTGTATCACTCACCTTGACATTTACCCAACAACCTGTAAGATATGCATTCTGCAGATGCAGTATTCATGAATCACAACAATTGAAGTCGAAGCCAATCGAATGAATGACTTAATCTGTGCTGTTATTTTAGGATTTGGCACTTGCAACTGGCCGTCTGCCGAAATACTTCTTCACAGACGCAGGAATTTTCTTACTATGAAATCATTCAATTATGTTACATTTCTACAAGAATTTGCGTAACATAAAAGTGACATAGTTTTTGGATTAATCGAAAGAATCAATAGTGATGTATGTCAACCTTACTATATTTGATGGCAGGCCGCTTACAACCCGAGTCTGTACTCACAACTCCCTTTAAAATTAAAATTAAATAAATAATTGATAAGTAATTGCTGTTTGCTTAACGTCCAGTAGCAAATATTTCATACATATTCAGGACGAGAGAATGATATTAATAATTAAATTAAACAAATATATGGAAAAGTTTTACCAACAACTGAAAGAAAACTGGTCACATTTCAACAAGAACAATAGTATATGACCGTTAAATGAAATCGTTAAAAAGTAATTAGACTTGAAAAATATGGAAAAGCAATGTCAACATTAATTAAAGTGTATCATGATAGTTGGGTTGCCAATACCGACTTGTAAATTCAATGAGTAAGAATAAATGTCTTCTCAAACTTATTTCAGATGCAGACGTTTGTTGCTTGTTTTTGTTGTTGCTGGAATTTTAATTAAATAATGAAGGTCAAATAAGCCATGCAATTTAAAAGTCATATAAGTCTATTTAATGTCTATCATCATGAAGTATTTTGGGTTTTATTATACTTGGATAATGTAATACGATTTGTATCTGGTAAATATTTAATTCCTAAATTTAGGATTGTTTCGAATTGCATAACAGACTGACTATTATCACCACAGACATGTCTCTGTTATCACGAAGAAGTATATTTCCATTCAGAAAAGGGAAATTTACTTAAGGAAAACTAAAACTATCACATTTGTATAACAATTTCTTTATCTTATCTCGTTTTGAATATGCATGAAATCAACGTTTACTTTACAGGTAAATGCATATATTCGAATTCAAGATGCGTATGAATCTTTTTCAGAGGGACGTTCAACAAATTTCGTATTCACATGCGTAGAATGTATGCTCCCATTATTCTCTCAGTTTTGGAGTTTGGGTTCCCGAGAATTTGGTTGGTGGTCATCAGACTTCCGGAAGTCACTATACCGAACGTGCGTGACGTACAGGCTCTTGTCCTATCATTGACCTCATAATTTTTGTTGTTGTTTTGACAAGTATTATTTAATTGCTGTCGCATTGATGTTTCCCCTGTCTTCTCTAGAGTCGTCTGCTTTGAAAAATTTTGTTCATTGGAAAATGAAATTTATTGTGGAAATGGACCTTGATGAATACGAGGTCTTGCAAATATATTAACCAACATAATCACCATAGGCATGCTTCATTCGTTGTCCGAGTTATATATATTTCTCAGCATGTTTTCTTCCATTTACCAATGAAATGATTGGTGTTGGAATCTGAGGGATTTGCAAAATTTTTACATTTATTTTTCCAGAAGCAATAAAATGCTCCGCTGGCGCAGCTTGATACGACCGCAGAGGTCGTATCCTGAACAGTTGGGGCAAGTATGGATACTACCTTCAAGCTTGATACAGCTCATAATTTGGATTGTGGTTAAATCTTTGACACAGCATAGGTTTCTGACACAGAATAAATGTGGTCAAAGAACTGAATTCAAGTGATATTACCACTCAAGGACAGGAACAATAAGTTAATTGAAATTTTGTTTATTTTGAGTTTTATAACTGATCATGGAAATAAAATATCAAAATAAACAAAAGAAAGTTTGTGATTCATTATTTCCCTACACATTAAATAAATAGAAATTTTCATTTTTCTTCCTATAAAAACTACATACAATTTGTATTACATATTTACAATTGTAATCAACTATTTGATAATATTTACTTTATGAATATGGATAAGTGTTGTGTATTTACTACTAATTCATTCATGCAACAATTACCAACTATTATCAAGAAAAAACATGTAGTATTCATCAATTAACAAACTTAAAATTTGAGTGACAAATTTATTTTGTGTTTTCTAAGTGGTGTGACTGATAAGCTGATTTTCAATCCAAAATCATTTTGATGCAATTTCTTAGGGATAAATGTAGGACTGTTTATGCTGCATCTATTTTTAACTTAAACTTTCCTTACAATTTCTTTTAATTGTGCAATACAGCTCTGAATTTGGATTGTGATTAATATCTGATATTATCGCTATTTTACGAAATTTTCCTTTGATCTTGCTGACTGATAATTTCCTATCTCAACGGAGTCGAGTGATATGAAAAATTATCGCTAGAAACTAAGGGGGCACGTGGCGTTGTCAATGAAATTGACATGAAACTGACAACGTCGTCATAGGTAAAATAGCGATAAATAGATTCTCATTGGTCATCTCAACTCGATTGCTTTTCTCACTTTCGCCGTACCCGCTCAAGCGAGAAAATCAATCTCGTTGAGATGATCAACGATAATCTATAATACCATAGGTTTCTGATTATGTTCCTACATCAAAAATCTAAATACATGTTTAGATTCAAGCAAATCAAAGAACTCCGAGAATTCAATTTTTAGATGAACTCAAACAGAGTTGAATTTTGGACCCTTTGGACCTCAATGTGGACCAATTTGATAACAGAGTCAAATAAAATGCTCCGCAGGGCGCAGCTTGATACGACCGCAGAGGTCGAACCCTGAACAGTTGGGGGAAGTATGGACACAACATTCAAGCTTGATACAGCTTTGGATTTGGATTGTGATTAAATATTTGACACAGCATAGGTTTCTAACACAGATTGAATGTGGTCTAAGAACTTAAAAATTTTAAATTGGACATTCACCTATTATGGTCCAATATCCAAAATCTAAATACATGGTTAGATTCAGCATATCAAAGAACCCCAAGAATTCAATTTTTGATGAAATCAAACAAAGTTTAATTTCGGACCCTTTTGACCTCAATGTGGACAAAGTTGATAACGGGGCCCAAAAATCAAAAATCTAAATACATGGTTAGATTCAGCATATCAAAGAACCCCATATATTCAATTTTTGTTGAAATCAAACAAAGTTTAATTTTGGACCCTGATTTGGACCAACTTGAAAACTGGGCCCATAATCAAAAATCTAAATACATGTTTAGATTCAGCATATCAAAGAACCCTAAGAATTCAATTTTTGTTAAAATCAAACTAAGTTTAATTTTGGACCCTTTGGACCTTAATGTAGACCAATTTGAAAACGGAACCAAAAATTAAGAATCTAAATACACGGTTAGATTCGGCATATCAAAGAACCCCAATAATTCAATTTTTGATGAAATCAAACAAAGTTTAATTTTGGACCCTTTTGACCTCAATGTGGACAAAGTTGATAACGGGGCCCAAAAATCAAAAATCTAAATACATGGTTAGATTCAGCATATCAAAGAACCCCATATATTCAATTTTTGTTGAAATCAAACAAAGTTTAATTTTGGACCCTTTGGACCTCAATGTGGACCAATTTAAAAACGGGGCCCAAAATCCAAAAACTAAATACACGGTTATATTCAGCATATTAAAGAACCCCATGAAATCAAGAATAAAACCCCATTGAAATTGGTCAAGAAATAAGCAATTTATAGGAAGTATCTTCTTTTGCACAATCCTGTGCTATTAAATATTTCTTGCTATTGCGCAATACTGTACAATTGACAATTTCTTGCTATTGCGCAATATTGTGCTATTGGATATTTCTTGCTATTGCGAAATACTGTGCAATTGAAGATTTCTTGCTATTGCGCAATACTGTGCAATTGAAGATTTCTTGCTATTGTGCAATACTGTGCAATTGAAAATTTCTTGCTATTGCACAATACTTATTATATAATAATTTACACATCCTGTTTGGTGTGTATCTCCTACCATATCATTATTATTTGATTTTAAATATAAATCAGAAATAACCAACTTAAAATGGAAAATTTTAAAAGAAACAAAAAAGGAAAAAAAGAAAAAAAAGGAAAAAAAAATAAATCCCCCCCCCAAAATTTTTTGAACCCCCATTATGATTCATCACCCCCAAACTCAATCCCAGCCTTCCCTTTGTGGTATGGTACCTTGCAGTACAATTTCAGAGAGATCCATACACTTGAACACAAGTTATTGTCTGGAAACTAGAAAAAAATGTGTTTTTTGGCCCCTTTTTGGCCCCAAATTCCTAAACGTTTAGGGCAATTACCCCCAAACTCAAACCCAGCTTTCCCTTTGTGATATGGAACCTTGTAGTACAATTTCAGAAAGATCCATACACTTACACACAAGTTATTGTCATGAAACTAGAAAAATGCTTGTTTTTTGCCCCTTTTTTGGCCCCTAATTCCTAAAATTTGGAGGCAATTACCCCCAAAATCAATCCCAGCATTCCTTTAGTGATATGGAACCTTGTGGTACAATGTCAGAGAGATCCATACACTAACACACAAGTTATGTCTGGAAGTTACAAAAATGCTTATTTTTGGCCCCTTTTTGGCCCCTAATTCCTTTACTGTTATTACCATAACCCCCAAAATCAATCCCAACCTTCCTTTTGTGGTATTGAACCTTGTGGTAAAATTTCATAAAGATCCATTCACTTAAACTAAAGTTAGAGTGCGAAAACCAATGTGTCTTCGGACGACGCCGGACGACGCCGGACGATGACGACGATGACGACGACGACGACGACGCTTGACGACGACGACGCCAACGTCATACCAATATACGACCACAAAAATTTTTTTGCGGTCGTATAAAAACCAAAATCTAAATACACTGTTAGATTCAGCATATCAAAGAACCCCATATATTCGATTTTTGTTGAAATCAAACAAAGGTTAATTTAGGACCCCGATTTGGACCAACTGGAAAACTGGGCCCAAAACAAAAATTCTAAATACATGTCTAGATTCAACGTATCAAAGAACCTCTAAAATTTATTTTTTGTTAAAATCAAACTAAGATTAAT